GGGGGGGGGGGGGGGGGGGGGGGGGGGGGGGGGATCACTCGCGAGAAACCCCGTACCTCTTCCTCAGACTTGCGCGACTCCACAGCCAGCGTATCCCTCTCTCCGCCTCGCCCTGCTGCTTCCATGCCAGAACCTGGATCGTCCGGCGTTTGCACCGCAGCGAAGCCAAGCATGGCGTCAGAAGCCATTTTCTGCGCCGGCGTGGGGCGCGGGGGGTGGGTGGGTGGGTGAGGAGTGCTTGCCATGAGGTGCGCGGGCGAATCGAGCCTTTCCCCGGCTTTTTTCCACTCCCAAGTACAATACAATCAATATATATTGCGGTTTGGGGTGTTGCTTGTGTTTTTGTTTGGGTATTTTTAGGTTTCAGGTTTGGGGACGCTATACATATATGGAAGCTTTTGTAACTAATTCCACGTTGTGTGTGATGGCGCTCCCGCCGCATGTATTTTCTCCGGGTAGAAAAGCACGGGTTAGGCATGATTCCAATCAACAACCGTACGCGCAAAGTAAGTCGCGAAAACATTACAACACATAACTCTTACTTCCATACGGTATTCAAACCGTTCGAAATAAATGATGAGTCACAAATAATAAATTCCAAAAGGGGCCGGCTGATTCCCGCCTGCTTTTTGTATTTTCTGGTCTGTCGAACGCACCACCAGTGGGCTCGGGCTGTGGCACATACATAAACGTCTATTTTTCACTACATCGTAGTCTCATTTTCCGTTTCTCTTCCCCTGCACGCAGGGGAACTTAAGAGCCAAATTTGTTACATTCACAACGTATACGTAACGACCCAAACGGTAACGATACACAGAGATGTAAACCTGTGAGTAGTACAGAAAAACCTACCTGGTACACAGTCGACGGCGTGGTGAGCGGTGGGGGTACACAGAGGAAGCGACTTGTGAATGCAGAAAGTACAGAAACCTGCAGTCTTTCAGTTGTAAACCGGGGACCTACACACAGAGCCGGATTTAATTATGTGAAAAACCTCTACACAGAGCCGACGGCATGAGCGGTGGGGGTACACAGAGGAAGCGACTGCTTGAATACAGAAAAGTAAAGAAACCTACACAGCCCTTCAGTTGCTAAATCAGGGACCTACGCACACAGCCTGACTTAATTGATGTATACATCTTCAAGTCAATAGGCAATTTCCAACATCGGGCAGAAGGTAGATGTACATAGGGGGTTTGTTTTTGTAGGTCGCAACTTCTACGTAGCTTGTGCAAGGTCATTCTCAGATGGGTTTGTCATGTGCGACTTCAATCCCGCGGTACAATACACTCACTCCCAAACGAGAGAGCTACAGTGAAGCAAATGACGGGTGTGCCATTCCCAAACATACGCCCTCTTGTGATTCCCGGCCTTTCTGCTTTGACCCTCCGGCATCTCTCTGACGTCACAATTCCTCCCCCGCCACTCACGTCTACTACTGTCGTCTACGCAGCCACAAACAGACACATGCAAGGTACATGTCAAACGCAAAGAAGCAAAACAAAATATCCTGGACACTTATTTGTGGAAAAGATTAATTCGTTGTGTTTTCGTAAGAAAAAAAAAAGAAAAAAATATACCACCGCTGTTCTGCAACCTCATCAAGACTTACACAAATGACCCCGCGCACGAGTAAAACACAACATGTAACATGTTTGGGAGGGAGGGGGGCAGGACAGCATGTGAGCCAACAAAAACACAAGCAAACTACGATTAAACCCGATCGTGGTATAAAAGTCTTTACCCACTGCCAGGGGTTGGCAGTTTTCTGTCTTGACATTTGGCAAGGAAAAGGTATCGGAAGAGAGAATACCGAAGGCGGAGGGTAGGGTAGTTTGTAAGACCTCTCAGTCCCCATCTCCGCAGCTGGCTTTGGAAGAGACGTCTCCTATAGTAATAGAGTTTCTCTTGCTGCTGTTCAACGACCAGCAACACCTCTCCTTTTAGCATGTGCGCCAATGGCTGCAACAATTCTACGCCCACCTGTCCTCCACAAGACGCGGGATCTCGGGACGTGCATGCTTTTCCAGAAAACGGTCAAACGATACACTGAGACAAGAACATGCATGCGCAAGCACAAACTAAAAGCTACACAGGAACGTTCCGAGGAAAGGGTCTTTGCTTGCGTCAACTCCAAGCAGGACACCACCGAGCACAAACACCAGCTGCCACACACCTAAGGATACGAGAGGCTGAGTACTGCTGCTGTAGATACCTCCGCTTTCATTGCCGCCTGGTCTACCAGCTCCGCGGCCCTAGCTGCGGTCTCCGCCAAGGGATCTGAACCGTCCGCTAGGGTCTCCTTGCCCTTGTAGTTTATCCGCCCGTTGGGGTGAACCTAACGAGAGTTCGAGAGAGAAACAAAAAATTAGTCAAGAGGGAGAGAGGGGGCGAGAGAGAGAAAAGAGACAGAGAGACAGGAAAAGACAGGAGGAATGAAGAGGAACGCGGGAGAGAAAGAGGAAGGAGGAGGGACACGAGGGACAAGAGAAGAATCAACAAGAGTGGAGTGGAGGGGGAGGAACGTAGTGGATAGGATAGAGGGCATCGAGAGCGTGAAAAGAGAAATGCGGCGTGAAAGCACAAACCTACGATATTCTCAAGGGTGTTACATAGTCGTTCCATCGTAATAGCGGCAACCGGTGCGCTCGTTGACTGCTGCTGTTCGCTGATCTAATCACTCCCCGCTGCCGTGCAATACGCGCGAGAGCGGCAAACACAACTCGTTTGGGATCTTGACCCCGGCACACAAACTTGCAGCCACCACGAGCCTGTCCTGACCAGCTGGAGTAACATGGATAACAGCTCTCGGGTGAGGGCGAAACCCGCCGACTCGCTCGCCGAAAATCGGCACCACTTTTTGGCCATTCTCCGAGACGACGAAAGGCGTATCAACGTAGGGGTAAGGGAGAGAGCACTCGCAACCGCAGGATACCAGGCGGGATCGAGAACCCAGAATGCCCCATTGGCTAACCTTCACGAGCTCTCCTTCCAGGTACATGCGATGGGCGTCCGCTGGGCTGAAGAGCCTGCCCGGACGGGGGAAGTACGTTAACGCGGCGGCGGTGGTGAGTACAACACGACGTGATAGGCTACAAGGAGGCGGAGACGGGACGGGTTCGCAATCGTCGAAGCGGCTCCGCGCGCCTACTTCTCTCGGAGACTGTGGTCACCACCACGACTGTTGTCGTTTGCTCATCTTGTGAGGAAACACGGCTGTACAAAATATACAGCATATGCACGACGGGGTAGTGCACCGGCTGGAACGGGAACTGCAGCAGCAACGTCATGAGGTGCGGTAGCGGCAGAGGCGGCCGAAGTCCAAGCGAGGCACCGCTGCTGCTAGGTCCGTTTCATCGCCAGCGAGAGCGCCGCGTGACTCCCATCCCCTCAGCCTACCGCTTCCTCCCCCAGAGGGCGCCCGCTCGCACCTGAACGTCTTCTTCCCCCTAAGGAGCACGTAGAGGTTGTCGTGAAAGTCATGGTGAAGCCCGCTGCTAGAGCCGCCCTCCTTCGTGTGCCCCATCCAGAGGTTCACGTTCTGTGGCACGAGCGCGCCAGCAAGCCCCGGGCGGAGAGGGAAGTCCTCCCGCAGCCTGTCCAGCGGCGCGCTCATGAGGCCGGGTCTGCCGGTGGGATCCAGCCCAAGCTCCTGGGGGGAGCCAGCCACGCAGGAAACACAAAACGCAAGTCCTTGCTAGTGTTCGCTGTCCGGGGTCTCAGCGGGCAAAGACGTGCTTGGGTGCGAAGGAGGGAGTACGCCCCGCACGGCGCAGCAGCGCGCCGAAGAAGACTACTTATCGCCCCCACGACACGCAGGAGTCGCCTATTACCCTACTCCTGTTGCCTGGTATCTCCACTTTCTCATTCTCTGTCTGCCTGTACTTCACCCCACCAATAGAACCACACAAAGGAGTTGCCTGTACCCCTCCTCGTTTTCGTGATATTCTCTTTATCTTTCTCTGCCTGTCTGTATTTCGCCCAAGTGAACGACACAAAGGAGTCGTCTGAAACCCTACTCTTTCTCTGCTGATCCTCTCTGTCTGTCTGTCTCGCCCTCCCTTTTTCCCCTCGGTCTCTCTCACCTGAGTAGTGAGATACAAAAGGTCGTTCTTTCGTTCCAGCTCGCCGAGGAAGTCGCCAAACTTCATCCCTCTTTCTAGCCCTTGACCGTACCGCTCCTCCGCCCCGCCCCGGTACTCCACTTTCACCTCTGCGTCACCAGCCTGCAAAACGTCGACAATGTGCATGTAAGAGGTGGCCTAACCGTACAACCAGTCCCTGGGTATTTCGCGAGAATCACACCAGCGAGAAGGCACCCGACGACAATCAAAAACGTGACCTAGTTGTCTTGCCCACAAAAGCAGCTGCTCCGAAGTGGCGACTAAGCCACAGCGTGATGACGAGGCATTCCACCGTACCCACCGATCGCGTTCGCGAGCACTAAACACATGGTACAAGGAATGGTGTTAAAGTGCATCGTGTCTCTCTTTGTCATTTTCTAGAGTGAACAAAAGCGCATAACGATAGAAGCTGTGACAGAGAGCGCCTACAAAGCGGCCGAGTTTGCAGTCATCCGTCACGAGGAAGGCGAGGTATTTAGGTTTCCGAAGGATTGATTGAGCCGGTGCTCTGCAAAGGCGTGAATAGTTGACAAATCCCGCTCGTCAACAGAAGAAATGCTTCTGAGGCGCTCGGACAGAACAATGTTGGCAAATGCGAACATGAATACTGCTGTTTATGGCCAGCCTTCGTGCGTTCGCGCACGTTGGTCTTTTATGATACGCACGAAACCAGCAGCCGGGGGTCCCCCTGTCCCCCCCTCAAACGTAAGCGCTTCACGGATAGGGAAGTTTGTGGAGAACAACAAAAAATCGACACCTTTTCGCGGAGGTACTCGTTGGTCCAGTTATTCCCTCGCCAGCCCTCTTCTTCCGTGAGGCAACCATCCATCAGCACTGGCTTTCGACGAGCCACGAAATCATCGAAGAACACCTCGGGCGACAGGTCTGAATACCGGACCGTTCCCACCTACTAGATGGAGCAGTAGCAGCAGGAGCAGCAGCAGCAGTACGAGCGCGGGAGGTTGTTACGGGCGTGAGTCCAACAACAAACGCGAAGGGAAAAAAAAAAACATATATATATATCCTCCCTCGGACAGCAGTAATCCAACGTGTTTCGGCCCAGTCCATGCACCCCCCCGTCGTTTCAAGCAACAGGCTGGCATTGCAGCTGATTCCTAGGTATAATAGTATCTAGCAGTTTCGGCTGCAGCTCTCTGGTTCTAAAGTCTGGAAAGTTCATCGCCAATGGAACGAAGGGCCGGCCGCTGGAGAGAACACCGACCCAGATACCGCTGCTGTACGGCAGTGGGGCACTCAAAGCTCGGCTGTCTACGGTCTGCAGCGTGTGCCTGTACAACTGGTGATGTGAGAAGCAAATCAGCCCATAATCCCGAGCCCGTGTACCGAGGTTTGTGTCTTGAATGGGTCGCAATGTGAGACATCGGGATTCCGCCAATCTCTTCCTCCGATCTAGAACAGTGGCATTTCATGATATCACCGGGCTTGGTAGTCTCGCCCGCAAATTATAAGATGCCAGGCCGGCTTGCGTGCCACGGCGGTCTGTGTTTGGTTGCAATCTATAGGACAATTCCGCGTTCAAGCCTCATGCTAAAAGCAGCGTTTGTGAAATAAAACGGATCGCCTTCGCGCGACGCAACAAGTGTGTGAGTCAAAAGTGCGGGAGGGAGGACGCAGACGCTATTCCCTAATCCTAACCCAACTTCCCCGATTGTAGGCTTTATCCAACATGTTTACAAAATAGACCTACGAATATGATGCTGCCGATATTATACGGCATTGGGTATGGAGGGCGGTGCGCTTCGCTTGGGAATTGTCTCCTCTCTGTCTCTCCTTTTGATGCAATGTCACGTGAGTGTGAGGGGCACGCGAGAGCTACACAGCAAGTAGGGGGTGCAACCTGGTACATCGACAACAGCAGTTACACATTCCCATTATATGCGTATTTAGTCACACAAATGGCCGTGAGACAACCACTGCAAACTACACCATTGCGAAAAAAAAGTAATCGGTGTTACTATTTTACATACAAGGAGTGCGGGCACACATAAGAGATACATTGAAGAAGCGGGGAAAATGAACCGCTTTCATCGCACCGCCGGTGATGAGCCCGACGCTCTCAAGAGTACCACTTCCAGACAGCTAAGTTACGGGTTTGGATGAATGGCCACCACCGAGGAACCGCCAAAGTCAAGGTGTCCTTAGGAAACATGGGTGTCATATTGTGAAAAACTTGTCTCGCCTACAGAGCCGATTTCGCCGGAAATAGGAGACCCTTGACACCTTGACACTAAAAAACTGAAAAAAATAAACTGCTGCTGCCTGCACGCCCTCTGTAACACGGCCCTTTCGGACCGTGCTCTTAGATTTCCAGAAGATGCTGCTGTAGAACGACCGCAGACGATCTTGGGTCACACTCGCCGCGTTAAGGCTCTCATACTGCAAGTGTCTAAAAAAAAAAGCTATCTGGCCACACGCAGTCCGTAACTCTCAACTTCATCTGTCGGCATCACACAAGTGCAGGGCCCAATTGTGTGCGTGCTCCACAGCAGCGCACGAGCGCTCACCCTTTCATCCCGGGAGAGCACGTAGCCGCTGTAGGCGTGGTGCGCTGGCACATACTGGCGGTGCGTCTGATCTGATGGACAAACGAGGTGCAGCATGAACCAAGCGCGCACATATACACCAGGAGCTCAGCAAGACGCAGAAGCGCTTACCGACGACAAACCTCAGAGCGGCTCTATGCAAGAGCACGTAGCATAGGAGAGCAACTGACTCCTGCGCGAGATCTCGTGAGCAGGGCGTGTTCAAAGCACCGTCCGTTTGTGTCAACAATCAACTCCATCCGCCACTACCTCCCTGCTGTCGGTTGCCCGGATGGCATTCGTCTAGCAAGACAGGGCCTCCGCGAACCAAAAATCCTACTGCTGTAGCGTCTTCTCCTTACCTTCACGGCCAGCCCGCTCACTCGTCTTCATGCTGCGTGCAAGGTGTCGGCCGGGGCGCTCTTGTTCTTGGTGAACTGCACATGCAATTTTGGTGTACAGCAGTCGGAAGAAAAAGTACGTACCAGGCTAGCCGTCCCGTCAACCTCCCGGCAATCCCTTCCCTCTGGCCCTCCCTCCCGGATCTGTGCTCAATAGCTCTCCGAAGGCCTTCTTTCTGTAAATGTGCTGTGTTCCTGGGGCGGGAGTCACCGGCTCCCCACGCAGCTGCAAGGGACGAGCGCGCATTCGGTGTGGGTGCTACAGGAGTACCTATGCGTGCAACCCCAAACCGCTTTCCCGCCGCACCACCTGCACCTGCGTCCACGAAAAAAAAAAACACAAGGCGGAGAGCGGAGAGGAGAGCGGAGAGCCAGTGGCCGGAAGGTTCTTCACTGCTGTAGTTGCCCACCGCCGCTGGCAGAGAGCAGGAGGTAGTACCAGAATAAATGAGTATCCCGGGTTGGGGGGGGGGGGGG